GCACCTGCTCACGTTCCTGCAGTTCCAGATTCTAGGTGGTAATGACCTTGTGAGCCCTCTCCTGGGCTGCCCCTGAGCTCTGGGCTCAGCTTCCCTGGAGGAGTCACCTTGCCTGCTCTCTTTTTTCTTTTTTTTAATCAAAGGATTAATTTATTTGAGGGAGAGGGAGAGGGAGAGGGTATGTTCCATCTGTTGGTTCACTTCCCAGCCCCAGCTGAAGCCAGGAACCTGGAACTCCATCTAGGTCTTCCATGTGGGTGGCAGCGGCCCAAGCACTTGGGCCATCTTCCACCACCTCCCCAGGTGCATTAGCAGGGAGCTGGATTGGAAGGGGAGCAGCCAGGACTCCAGCCAGGGCTCAGACAGGAGATGCTGACATCGCAGGCGGTGGCTTAACCCACTGCACCATGGTGCTGGCCCAGCCTTTCCTGCTGAGGGGACCTGCAGGCCCCAGGGTTTGTCCTGGCTCCTCTGTGTGAAGCTGAAGGGCCTCTTGCCAGGGCTGGTCCCACTTAATGTGTCTTGCCCTGTGCGGGGAAGAGCTAGCTCTTTATTGTACGACGCTATGGGGCTGGCAGTTACGCCTTCTGAACATTTCAGAACCATGTAACAGGGAGAACATTAAAAAAAAACCCTAATAGTCAAATAAATTGTTTGGAGAGGTTGGTAATGATTTTGTGGGCAGGAGGAAGGGCTTTTAATTCAGGGAATTTTAAGCACCACCGCGGAATCCTACAGACAAGCTTAGATTACGTAAGAAAAGCCAGGAGAGAAATGATTTTGTTACCAAGAGATCAGGGGGAAAGATAGAAAAAAGGGGAGGGAAAATCTTGCGTGTGTGCAGGCTGCAGCCTGCGCTGGGGGCTGCGGAACAGGTCTGGGGACACGGAGAAAGCTGCTACTTGCTCAAGTGCTGTGCTCCTCACGGTCGCTTTTAGTCGGTTGCGAAAGGGACCCCGAGGATCCGGACAGGGTTTCACAGAGTCACTGATCCACTGCGCCTCCCGGTGGTCAGAAGCCCAGAGGGACCCGGCTGCTTATGCCACCAGCTGTGTCTTTCCTGCATGCTCAGAGATGGACTCCAGATGTTCCCAGTGCTACGCCACGGAGCGACACCCCAGGGAAACGGCTTCCAGCCACACTGATGGCCGCATTTCTGAGAGCAGAGTCAGCTGCAGGCGGGGACAGATGCTGCTGACCGTGTAGCCTCTGGACCCTCCCCTGGAGCCTGTGGGAGATAATCTCTGGATTCTGCCTTTGGAGTAAGCACGCCGGGAGTTTCCAATGTATACACTGAAGGTGGAGGAACATCAGTGAAAGCAAAAGGAACCCGGACTTGACCTAAAGACTCAGATCTTATCTCTCCCGTCTCTTCTTAGTAGTGGAGGGAAGGTCATTTGCCTTCAAATTCACAAAACTCTATTCCTGATAACTGGTCCATAACATAAGGTCTGGATCTTTAGGGAATGGTTAAGAGTCATTATGAGGCCAGCGCTGTGGCGCAGCAGGTTAAAGCCCTGGCCTGCAGTGCCGGCATCCCATATGGGCATTGGTTCAAGTACTGGCTGCTCCACTTCTGATTCAGCTCTGACCCGGGAAAGCAGTAGAAAATGGCCCAAGTGCTTGGACTCTTGCACCCATGTGGGAGAATGGGAAGAAGCTCCTGTCTCCTGGCTTTGGATCAGCTCAGCTCTGGCCATTGCAGTCATTTGGGGAGTGAACCAGTGGATGGAAGACCTCTCTCTCTTTCTGTCTTTACCTCTCTTTGTAAGTCTGACTTTCAAATAAATAAATAAAATAAATCTTAAAAAAAAAAGTCATTGCTTTCGCAGTTTGCTGCTGTCTGGAGGAAATTCAGAGCTGCCAGGGGCACTTGCATGTTGAGTCCACCCAGCTCTCTGATTGACATACACACCCCAAAGGTCCAGGCTCGGGTGGTGTGCCACCTGGGAGACCTCTCTTTCCCTCTTCGTACCTCAGCGGCAACTACTGCAGTCATTTTATCTCGGACATGGCCAGACAAATGGAAGGGCAGAAGACAAGTCATCTCACACATGGTCCAGGAGGTGTCTGCGCTGAAATAGATCCAGAAACCCACACTGGCAACGCTGCTGAGGGGAGTGGGCACGGCTGAGCCCGTTCCCGGGAGAGCTTGGCCTGCCCTGTCCTGTGTCATCACCTTGTCTGCCCAAGCACAGAATCGCTTTCTGGAAGTCAGCATAGCAGACAGTGGTGGTCATTTGGCCTGTCCCCTACCCCTGATTCTCAAACACAGTCATTTTCAAAATCTTGTGTGGGCAGAATGTTCACAAACAGCAGGGGTTCACACAGCACATAGCAGCAAGAGAGAGAGTTCCAGAAATCTGGGCTGAGGTTCAGAAAAGAGCAGGGAGGTTTCAGGTGATCAGAACTCTGCTCAGGTCATAACCAGGCAGGAGAACCTGGATTTCATGTGTGTCCTGAGCAGGAGTTTACAAGTTCAAGGAGGTCTCAAGTTCAAGTTCAGGTCTCAGCCTTCCAAGCTATTAATGGCTCCTGAAGAGAGAGGCGAGTGGTGGTCCAGTCCCCTTCCTGTTTTAATTTTGGGGCTCTAGGGGACAAGGTGAAGAGCACATACAACTCAAATTTGGGGTCCACACTGACCTCCTAGAGAACCTTGGGATGATTTGTAAACCCGAAATTTCCAACATCAGGAACTGCTGGTCCTGGAGGTACAAGCTGATGTCTCACATTAGACATCACGTTTATCTCATGGCCATGGAGAGCCATGGTCAGATCATCTCCAGGAAAGTGCTCTGTGGAACAGGTGAGCAGACCCCTTAGTGGCTCTGTTCCCAGTTTGTAGGTAAGAAAATTGAGGTCCAGAGGGATTCGTTTCTCCAAAGCCCCTGGAGCTGGTTCACGTCATTACAGGGGCTGACAGAATCTTTCGACGTATCATCTGCAACAGCCGGTGGTACAGTTCTCGGCCAGGCCAAAGGCTTGAGCACCAGAAAGCCAAGGGTGCAAGTCCCAGGCCAAGTCCACGTCCAGAGTCCCAAGATCCAAACGCCCTTATATGCAAGGTCAGGAGAAGACGGATGGCCAGGTGCAAGCAGGAAGAGCAAATCCACCTTCCTGGATATTTTTTTTTCTTATATGTGGGCCCTCAATGGATTGGACGATGCCCACCCACAGTGGTGGGAGCCAGCACCTTTTCCCCATCCACCAATAAAATGCCATCTTATGGTAACACTCTCCAGACGATCCACCTGCTATCAGGCATCCCTTCTTCTGGGTGAGTGGGCACGTGAAATTAACCTTCCCAGAGGAACAGCATCAGGAGTCAGATGGCCCAACTCCCATTCCCAGGTTCCTTCATTTGCCATCCTCTCTTCCCAAATGGCTCATCCTGGTGAGTTAAAGGGGCTGGGCTTCCCCCCGCCGGCAGGTGAAACAGGGCTGCTGATCACAGCTCCATGCGGGCACGGCATTCACAGTCGTCCCTAGTGGAGACTTGATGGCTGTGAGGACCGACTGGGCAGAAGGGGAGGGGAGTGGGTGCTGCTGCACTTGCCGCACCTGCTGCATCTGTTTAAGCCAGCACTGCAGAAACCCTCGCAAAGTGAGCTAGGGAGAGACACACTGGGGAGACAGTTCTTTTTTTTTGACAGGCAGAGTGGACAGTGAGAGAGAGAGAAAGGTCTTCCTTTTTTTTTGCCGTTGGTTCACCCTCTAATGGCCGCCGCAGCCAGCGCGCTGTGGCCGGCGCACTGCGCTGATCCGAAGGCAGGAGCCAGGTGCTTCTCCTGGTCTCCCATGGGGTGCAGGGCCCAAGGACTTGGGCCATCCTCCACTGCACTCCCGGGCCACAGCAGAGAGCTGGCCTGGAAGGGGGGCAACCGGGACAGAATCCGGCGCCCCGACCGGGACTAGAACCTGGTGTGCCGGCGCCGCTAGGTGGAGGATTAGCCTATTGAGCCGCGGCGCCGGCCTGAGACCATTCTAAGATGGAAATCCACAGGACCACTGAGCTGAGTGAGCAGAACAGGGGTGGGGGAAGGGCTGACTTAGTATCATGTCTAGGTTGGTGGCTGGGAGGTCAATGGGAGCCTGACGTGTCAGGAGACACGTGACAAGTTTAGTTGGAGACACGTTGGGTCTGGGCCATAAAGATGTCCAGGAGAGGACCTCAGGGAGATGCCACTACTAGGAACCCAGACACAAAGGCAGTCACAGGTGTTGTGGGACCAAGTGAGCATCCTGGGAACGTACAGGGTGAGAAGGAGAGAAGTCAAAAAGCTGTGGAAGGCAAGGCCATTGCCTGCAGTGCCAGCATCCCATATGGGCACCGGTTTGAGTCCAGGATGCTCCACTTCCAATTCAGCTCTCTGCTTGGCCTGAGAAAGCAGTAGAAGATGGCCCAAGTCTTTGGGCCCCTGCACCCACGTGCGAGAGCCGGAAGAAGCTCCTAGCTCCTGGCTTTGGATTGGCTCAGCTCCAGCCATTGCGGCCAGTTGGGGAGTGAACCAGTGGATGGAAGACCTCCCTCCCTCTCCCTCCCTCCCTCTCCCTCCCTCCCTCTCCCTCCCTCCCTCTCTCTCTCTCCCTCCCTCCCTCCCTCCCTCCCTGCCTCTCCTTCTCTCTCTGTGTAACTCTGACTTTCAAATAAATAAATACATCTTTAAAAAGAAGAGTTCCAAAGCTGGGGACGGGTGAGGGGAGCCACAGCAGAGGCATGGGGGGCATGAGAAGGACCAGTGAGGAGGATTACAGAGGAACAAAGGGGACGCTCAGGTACCCACATAACCCAATCCCAAACGCTTGTTCTGGGCACCCAACCACCAGTGAGGCTGGGTTCTGGGGTGATTCGAGAAGGCTGCATCCACGCATGGACTTGCACTCACTCCTTGGCCACCAGCGCTGCCCTGGAGCAAGCTGCATGCAGAGGAGCCACCCGTTGCGCCCCCTCTTGGTGCTGAGAAGTATAGCAAGGGGCGGAAATGGTAAGAGCAACTCACCACGATGAGCGCGACCACAGACAGCGTGTAGTAGATGGAGTCTCTCAGCAGGCACCAGGAGGAAAGAGCCACAACCTATAGGGCAAGGAGACAGAGACAACAAGGAACAGGAAATCAGTCAACGCCAAAGAGATGGCGTGGCTCCTGCCAGCACCACCCCCAGAAACACAGATTCAGGCTTATAGCTCCCGTCCAGGTGGTTCAATCCACCTGCCAATCAACAGAAATGTATTGAAGATCTTGAGGAGTGTGTCTCCATCCTCCAAATGTCAGACACCAAGATGGGATGAAACCTGCCAGTATTTGGTTTTTGGGAAATGGCTGGTGATGGAAAACAGAGAGGGAGCCAGGGAGCGGGGAGCACCGGCCACTGCCTGTGACTGGGGTCTGACCTTGGCTAAGGAGACAGAGAAGGCTGCCTGCAGGCCTGGGGACACTTGGTGGCAAGTCCCGCCAGAGGCATCTCTTGTCTCCCAGGAACGGGCCTGGTGGCAAGGATGGGAGATGCAAACTCCACCGGTGCTTTCCCTGGTGACTCCAACATCTGTTGTAGCCTGCACTCCCCATGGGCAGTGAGCAGCCCCAAGGGGCAGCTGCTACCCTTCAGAGCTGTGGACATCTCCCTTGCACAGCTTCCTCCGGCCCCCTCCCCTAAGTCTGCCATGCATCTGGCCTCACTGTCCTCACTGGCCCTGGTCTAATCAGCATTTTTTTGAAGGCTGGTTTACATACTGATCTGGCCAATGTGTCCTTTTATCAGTTGGGAGGGGCTGGTTCTGCTGAGGCCAGGCTGAGGCCAAGGAAGCCGTGGCCCACAGGAGAAGGAGGCCAGGCTGGGGCTGGGCAGAGGAGCTGGGGATGGGCAGGAAGTTGTGGCCGCCAGGGTGAGACCCTTGTCCTGGAGGGAGGTTGTTCCTCCCTGCCTAGTCCTTTAGAGTTTCTTTCTGAGGCCTGCTTATTTGGGCTTTCTGGGTTCACAGTTGGGTGTGTGGGGGATCCTGGATCATCACACCCTAGGTGAGCATCAGCCACCCCTGAGGACACAGGACACTACGTGGCACCTATGCCCTCAGCCAAGTACGTGAACAAGGACACAGCAAGGGCCTGCACTCTGAGCACCCAGCGGCAGGCACACATTACACCGAAGACACCAGGTGCCCAGGGCTGGAGCTCGGCTGTCTTCTGTGCCCATCCGTTCCCCACCTGCTGTGCCATCGACAAAGACAAATCAGGCAAAGTCAAACCAGAGAAGACTTTGTGGATTCGAATAACCTTGAAGCCATGACTTAAATAGAACCATAAATGAATAATGAGGCCAGAGTCTCCTTCCGTTAACACATGCTTCCCCTGGTTCCATGCAAGGCTGTTGCTGATTTTTTTTGCCTTATAAGGTTTGGTGTTCGCAGGTCTAAGTCACAGACAGATTATACTGCAAAAATCACTCGGGGACAAACAGAAAGTATTCTTCATCCTTATATCACCGTGTCCTTGTGCTGTGGACTCTGAGAACCCGTGACTATCAGTCACCATGTATGGGCTACCTTAAACTGGGCACAGCTGTTCATCTCCCTTCAGTCTTGACTATGTGTTCAATTTTTTATAATCAGGAAGATGGACTGAAAACAGGTGGCACATATCAATTCAGAATTTCTTTAACAGATCACTTGGGTTCTTAATGAACCACGGCAGAGGAACAGATGTCATGAGCTCTCCTCTTTCCTGTAACACACAGTAGATCATAGTAAAGGAATTAAGAAAGATGATAGGAAACCACAAAGCAGAAAGCAGCGGAAGAGCTGCCCGCAGCAACCTCATTTTGCAAGTTGGCGAGCAGAAGGAGAACTGGTCACCCAGTTGGCAGTGGGGGAAGTTCTAGAAGTGGGGTAAAGATGGCCTGATGGCGGGACCAGTTTTAGAAGTCTGGTTAAGAATTTAATCTCTGATCCTTCTGCGCCATTACCAGTAGCTCAGTTATGTTCATCCCTCACCTTAAGACAAACAACAGACCCAGCATTGAGGAACAGACATTCCAGAAACAGAGAGAGCAGAGTGGAGGAAATCATCAAATCAGAGGTTCAGGACTTCAGCAGTTTTTGCAGAGTCAAAGGGCTCTCTGAGTGTCTGATGCAACGGACACAAGAAGATGCACACAAGACACATATCTGCAAACTTCCACAATAAGAAGATCCTAAAACTACCTGAGTGAGGGGCTGGTGCTGTGGTGTAGTGGGTAAGACCACTGCCTGCAGTGCCGGCATCCCATTTGGGCACTGGTTCCAGTCCCAGCTACTCTTCTTCTGATCTAGCTCCCTGCTACGGCCTGGGAAAGCAGTAGAAGATGGCCCAAGTCCTTGGGACCCTGCACCTGTGTGGAAAACCTGGAAGAAGCTTCTGGCTCCTGGCTTCGGATTGGCAAAGCTCTGGCTGTTGTGGCCATCTGGGGAGTGAACCAGTGGATGGAAGACCTCTTTCTCTGTCTCTGCCTCTCTGTAACTCTGCCTTTCAAATAACTAAATCAATCTTAAAAAAAAAAAAGCACCTGAGTGGTTAAACAGCTTCATATACAAAGGTTCAAAACCAGAATGACACTTTATTTCCCAAAAAGATACTGGAAGCTAGAAGAGAAGGGGTAATACCTTTCAAAGTTAGAAGAAAAATGGCTTAAACCAGATTTCTATGTCCAAACAAGTTATTTAGTGAGAAATTAATAAAAATAAAAGTTTATATATTATTATTTTTTATTTGACAGATAGAGTTAGTGAGAGAGACAGAGAGAAAGGTCTTCCTTCCATTGGTTCACCCCCCAAATGGCTGCTACAGCTGGAGCTATGCTGATGTGAAGACAGGAGCCGGGTGCTTCCTCCCAGTCTCCCATGCGGGTGCAAGGGCCCAAGCACTTGGGCCATCCTCCACTGCCCTCCCGGGCCACAGCAGAGAGCTGGCCTGGAAGAGGAGCAGCCGAGACTAGAACCTGGTGCCCATATGGGATGCTGGCGCCGCAGCTGGAGGATTAACCAAGTGAGCCATGGTGCCAGCCCAAAATAAAAGTTTAGTTTCAAAAATTTTACATATTATATAGCTTTTTAAGAATTTTTAATCACGTTTTCACAGATTCAATGTGCTTTGCAGATACGATTCTAAGAACATAGTGATAATCCCTTCCTCCTTCCCTCTCTCCACTTGCTGAATAAGAAGTTCAAAAAGTAAAAAGCAGAAAGACCCCAGTTTAGTGGGAATATAGACAACATACACAGCCTTTCTGAAAAAGCCACCGGAGGATGTACTCCATTAAAATAAAGGAGTAAACCATTTGTTCCATACAATTAGGTTGCAATAAACTATACTAGCTAACAGTCTGAATCTATAATAATTAAAGGAAATTTCCAGAATGACGGTGAAGGGATATTCTAAAAGGAAGGTGAAAAGACAGTCCAAAATGAAACATCTGCAGCAGGCTTAGAGGGTAATCTGGCTAGACTGGAGCAGGTCAGAACTCTCCAGAGGAATATTCCAATAGGAGAAAGTTGATGTAATACCTGAAAATTGTAAACATAAAGAGGAGAGGTATGAGGACAGCATATAGAAAACTAAACAAACAACAACATGAAAAGACAAGTATAGACCACAGGGGAAACAGGATTGTGCCCCTAAGAAGATGAGTCAGTATGTGTCAATGGTTTAGCCATGACGAGTGCCACATAGTCTAAATAAACTAAGTGTTGTCTAGCCAACTTGTGACTCTTTGGGAAAAGGCTGGGGCCCCTCTCGAGTGGCTAAGAGAAATCTAAACATTCCTCTCCCACTCGGTGAGGTCAATGCACAATGGTTGTTACTGAAACATCTAGCAGGAGCTGGATCAAAAGTATAGCATCCAAGACTCAAACAGGCACCCATATAGGAGGCTGGCATCGAAGGTGGTGGCTTAACCCCCAGGCATGTTATTTACATATAGGGAACAAATCTCAGGAACGGTCAAATTAGTGGATAGTTGTTGCCTCAGAAGAGTGAGAAATTGGTGCCAGTGGGACTGGAAGGTGACTGTTTTTCATATTAAAGCATCTAGAACTGGTTGCATCTTTGAATTCTTTTTTTTAAAGATTTATTTATTTACTTGAGGCAGAGTTACAGAGACAGACAGACAGACACACACACACACACAAGTCTTCCATCTGATGGTTCACTCCCCAGATGGCTGCAATGGTCAGAGCTGAGCTGATCTGAAGCCAGGAGCCAGGAGCTTCCTCTGGGTCTCCTACATGGGCCAGAAGCCCAAGGACTTGGGCCATCTTCTACAGCTTTCCCAGGCCATTAGCAGGGAGCTGGGTTGGAAGTGAAGCAGCTGGGACTCGAACCAGCACCCATATGGGATGCTGGTGCTGCATGTGGAGGCTTAACCTATTACAACACAGCGCCGGCCCCAAGTTCTGATATATTTCTAACTTCAATAAAAATGTAAAACACGGAAGTACAGTGCAAATGATTCACTTAGATTTACCACAGTAAGACATACACCTTTCACTCGGTGTAGATGCCAAGCTTGGATAGATACTGATATCTTCTCTTTTTGTACAAACAGAATAGTTTCCAATGTCTGGGCTGTCAAAATGTCAGCCTTAGCACAACTAATTTTTTAAAAAAATAAAAGTGATAAGCTAGAGCACATATAAGAATGAGTCAGGGCAGAGAATACTTTCTTTCCACACTCTAGAAGGAATTAAAGAAAGGCATACTTCCAAACCATTGGTAACTTTGTGCGATTTATAATGAAACGGTGATTGGGAACTCATGTCCACTTCTACCTTGCCACTCTGACACCACTGCTGGCCACAATAGCAAATCTTCATCTACATTCTCTGCAAATAAGGGGCATTAGAAAGGTTATCGTGTTGAGTCCTCACAGCAACCTAACAGGGTTAAGCTTTGTTCTCCTTTGAGAGCAATTCAGGCCCGGCAAAGTGGAGAGCCTGGACTAAGAGCCCACAGTGAGCCTCGGGGAAGAGCTGGGATTTGAACTCAGGAAGCCTGGCTCAAATCCTCGTCCCCCCCAAACTCTGTTACAGGGCCTTCCTGAGGCT